TATGGGGGGGGGCGCTCAAACCCCATTGCCGCCAGCCACGCTGGGTTTTGGCCCCCTCGGATGGCCGGTTCCTCTGACGCCTGCGGTGCGGGGGCACGGGCGGTGCTTGGGGAGCTGCAGGTGCCGTGGGCGGTGGGGACCCCCTGGGACCCTCCCCGGGTTCATCCCCCCCAGCACCGGGAGCTGGGCCCGGGGCAGGAATGGGCGCTGCCTGCAGGGGAAGGCACCTCAGCCATTTGCCATGGCATCATTCACGCCAGAATAAAAATAATGCAAATGGCTAAATCGCATCTGAGGCTGAGGCACCTTTTCCTTCCGGTTTTATTTTCCAACTTGAGCATGGGCCATTGCCTGTCCTTGGGACGTGCCCTCGTGGGCGACCGTACCCGGTGCGGGATGGGCTGCGGGCAGGCAGGAGGAAGCGAATGCCATGAGAAGAGACGTGAACGTGCCCCTGTGCTCACCCTGCCTTCCCTTTGCCTTCCCTTTGCCTTCCCCAGCCCTGGCGGCAGTGGGGTGAATCCTGCTCCGTGCACAGGGTGCCGAGGCCCTGGGGGACGCGCTGAGGTCAGGGAAATCATTGGCGAAAACCCAATAGTCTTGAAAACATGAAATATTTATTCTTAGTTATAGCGGGGGGAGGTCTGGATGCTGCGGGTATTGAAGGCACTTCACCAACTGTTAGGGGTTTACTGCGGCTTTCACGGAATTTTTTTTGTCCTTTCAAAATGATTGCTGTGTTTCATTCTCCAGCTTCTGGAGCCACGTGATTACAGGAGAGTCTTACTTTGATTTTTTTTTTTTTCTTCTGTAAGTTAAATCGAGCCTCCAGCCTCATGTTTGTGCCTGCACGCACAGACCCTAGCCACGAATACTGAAGGCTTAAGAAAGGAAAAATAAGCAGGAACCCAGCGTGTATTATTGACGCCTTGTAGCTTGCAGGGCAGGTTTGTGATTTATCAGTGCTCGGCTTTGGCATGTGGAAAAGTCATCTCACCTCTGATTAATGCGAAAGCTGGAACGAGAGTGAAATAACCCGGCGTTAGTTCTCCAGCCGAGAGAGGAGCCGCTCCTTGCTTCGGCGAGGGATGTCGGGTTCCTGATGTCCCCGGGTTCCTGACGTCCCTGGGGTGATGGGGAGCAGCGGGGCTGGATGCTGAGCTCCCAACGGCTGCCGCCGCCACCTTGGTTTTCCCT